AGCTGCACGAGCGACCCAAGCGAAAACCCAAGAGCTGCCTTGTCAATCTGCAGAACCGTGAGAGACGAGCACACGTTGATCTTTGACGCCACTGAGTTTGGGTGCGGCTGGCTGTGCAGGAGCAGATGACCAAAGCCGGGGGTGGGTTCAGCTGCAGACACCGCGATGCCAGCGGAGGGACGTGTTCCAAAGCTCCCTGGTCAAGTTCATGGGGTTGGTGTCCGGACTCGAGGAGTGGGGTCTGGGCTGCACTGACTGACCTGGGAGCTCACAGCCTGCAGCACAGCACACGGAAGGCCGCTGGAGCCAGAGGAGTGGGGGAGGGAACCCGGCGTGGTTATACTTTGAAGAAAGCAGAACCCAGAGAACAGCCATGGTGACAGATTGGGTAGAGGAAAATGAGTCACAGGACAAACTGAAACGTCCCTGCTGAAAAGTTAGGAAGGAAGTGCATGAACGTGGTGTCACAGAGGCAAAGGGGAAAGACCACTTCATTGAGGAGGGTTACACGCTGCAAAGACAGAGGGGCAGTCATTGGTGCCCCTGACACAGCGACGGGTGACTCTGGAAGACAACAGCTGCGTGAGTGGCGGGCGGAGGACAGCCACGAGAAAGGGGCCAGGCTGGAGCAGGGGTGCACGGGCGGTAAATCCTGACTCTGCACCCTCTGTTCCAGAAGGCTGGCTGCAGGGGAGAAGAGAGAGACGGGGCAGAGCTGGCCCAGGGGGCAGTTCGAGGGTCTATGTATGGATCTTCTGGAGACGGCGAGTGGCCTCAGAATGTTCCAGCGCTGACTGGATGTCCAGGTAGAGTGGGGACATTCTGAAGTACAGGATGGGATCAAGAGTCCCATGGGAAGTTGAGCCTTGGATGAAAGAAAACACTCAGACACGCGGAGGCCTGGAGGGCTGTAAGAGGGCTCCCTCTGAAGGCTTCCGCTTCTTTTGCGGTGGTTGCTGTTGAATAGGAGGCCAGGACATCAGCTGAGAAAGCTGACGGGTGCAGCAGGAAGATTCTGAATAACTGGTAAGAAATGTGGAAGAATTTGCAAGGGACATGGAGTAGGGCTGCCAGATGGTGGGAGCCGGTGAGCCAAGAGACGGGCATGATTGCTCCCTCTTTACGTGTGAGGAAATGGAGGCTCAAAGAAGTTAAGTAACTTGCTGAAGGTTACAAACTAAATAAATGCACGAGCTACAACTGGAACGGAGGCCTGTGTGGTTCTTTCCAGCGCATTAGGCTGACGGAATTCCTTGGTCCAGGGGAGTAACTGCCGTTTCTGGAAGGAGACTGGTGTTGGGGCTAAAAAACACCATTCCCACCCCCTTCCCTCAGGTCTCCTGAGACCGGTGCTTCTGACCTCCTCTCTGCAATCTGCAGTCTAAGGAGGTCTCAGGGATAATCAGTAAAGGCCCCTGGCACAGGGCAGAAATTCTTCTTTAAATAATAAACACCCTTTAGAAATGCCTTCAGACTGCGCTTAAAAGCAAGCAGGGAGTTTACTGAACCCTTAGCACCAAGGTTGTGCCTGGGAATCTACATATATATAAAAGCCTAAGTGACCGTCTGACCGTCAACAGGGTACCTATGATGTGCACTGACCACCAGGGGGCAGACGCTCAACACAGGAGCTGCCGAGCTGCCGTGACTTGGCAGCTGTGGTTCTCGGGTGACGCACCCGGACCCAGAGAGGAGGGAGCCCGATTCCGGGGTGCGTCACCCGAGAACTGCCCTCTCGCAATCCGGGGCCCCTCGGGGGATGTTGGAGAGCCCGTTTCGGCCTGATCCCCACAGGCCAGGCTGAGGGACCCCACTCATTCCGCAGACGTCCTTTGAGCCCCAGCGCCACCCCAGGTGCAGCTGCCCGGGGAGGGTCCACGGGAGGCTGGCTCCAGGGCATGTCCGGCCCCTCTCGCCCAGTCCTGCCCTGCCGGCCACCTTCCAATTAATTTACTTTCAATGTGCACGAATCCGTGCACCGGGCCTCTATTTGTCGTTAAAGAACCAGGCTACATAATAAGAGGACGGCATTTAGAAGCTGAAAGCAATCTGCTCATGACGCTCAGCACAGTTATTCTCTGGGTGAGCTTTGCTCAGGAGGCTCAGGCCTGCTTACAGGTGTGAGCTAGAATTTCTAGAAATGAGGTGCAAAGCTCGGGAAGCTGAAGTGGTGAGGGACGCTGTGGGTCCATCCTGGAGACAAGGAGCAGTGTTTGTGAGGTGCCTCCTTCTTGCAAATAGAGCCCCTCATGCTCCCTGCACCCAGGACTATACATATTTAAGAGACAGATACCAAGAATCTTTATATGGAAAAATGAAAATAAGATTCTTTCAGTTTAGTATATTTTGGCTGTTCCAGAAAAAATAAAAAGACACTAGTGACTATGATTTGGACAAGGACTGAGCCCAGACACAGAGGAATTCCCGCACATGCCCTAGTCTGGCTGGCGGCTGGGGGATCGGCTCTGCGGTGTCTACTCGTCCTGGGGCATCGCTGTCTGCTCCTTACCTGGGCGGCGAGGAAGAAGGTACCTGCCCACGAGCACATGGCTGCTCCGTGGCGTATGTCATTGCACACGGTGCCTCCAGGGCACGTGGGTACCTGCAGCCCCTCACAGAAGGGGAACCACAGCTGTGTGTTTGAGACGGTGGAGCACATCCAACTGGCGTTTGTAGGAATGGGAGAGACCATAAAACAGAGAACACCCAGGTGCATGTCCCACAGGGAGGACGGGTGCTATCCTGGGAAACACACGGATATGTGGAAGCATTTGTGCTTTTGATGCAATAGCATCTCCCTGCATCGTGGTGAGTAGTTTAGAAGCCCATCAGCTCCAGAGCGCTTTCTGAAGCCACAGTTATAGGACGTTCTTCCAAACCCCTGGGGCTGCCGGGACCCCGGACAGGCTTTCCCGGGCTGCCCTACGCTTTCCTGCAGGTCTGAACCACTGGCAGGTTACAGAGTCCGGGGAAGGAGCCACGTCTGCATGTGGGCTTCTGGGAGCCGAGGCCTGCGGATCTGAGTAGAGGCTCCTGGCAAAATCCCGGCCCAGCACCAGGGAAGGGACTGGGCCTGCAGCTCCCTGAGGCATGCCTGTCTGCTTCAGTTCAGTCACAATAAATAAATGGTTAGGGTGTGTGTCCTCTTAAATAAAACATTTACAATAAACATTTCCCTTTTTAGTATATTCAGTGGATAAAGTCCCCTACATGTGAGATTAATAAGTGCTAAGAGAACATGTAAATTTCAATCTATATAAACCAGAAATAAATACTATTAATTTCTGTGCAGTTACTCAATCTGTTCATATGTGTGTCATCACTGCCTAAAACAACAATTGTTTAAGTAACCGTATTTTATTTCACGGAAATTTCCCACCGACAGTTTTAATGAGGAAAGATGGGCTCCCTCCTCGGTAATCTGCCCGTTTTCCTCAGATGTGGAGTCATCTCAATCACCAGCTTACAGTTTGGGGACATGCAGAACTTGGTGTCAAAAGGCCCTGTACAGGGGTGGGATGGGGTATTTATTATTACCATGAAGATCTTGTCAAATTCCTCCATCTCTCCAAGAGAGAAGAGAAGCGTCACAAAGTATTATTGTTAAAATAAAACAGAAGATGGGAAAGCAAAGAACAAAAATACAATAAGAGCATTAGTCACAGTCCATGTAAACCACAACAGATATATAAATACTAGAGGCCTGGTGCACGAATTCGTGCATGGGTGGGGTCCAGCTGGCCCGCCCCCGATTGGGATGGGGTGGGGGTGATTGGAGGCGGTGCTGGCCAGGGGGAGGGGCCACAGCAGTTGGCCAGCCAGCCTCACCCCCTGGTTGAACTCCAGTCGAACTCCCGGTTGAGGGGACAATTTGCATACTAGCTTTTTATTATATAGGCTAAGCAAGTATGTTCTATATAAAGATACAGTAGCTTCTTTTTAATCTCGCAGGGAACCTACCCCACGAGGGGGACCTAACTGATGTGGAAGCAGAATACAAACCTAAGAAGAAAAAAAGTGGAAGACACACCAGGGAGATGCTTAGAGGCAGATGACATATTCATCACGTGGCAATAGGTGTTGTATTCTGGTGGCTTTGAGATACAAAGTATTACGACATTTTTGCAAAAAGTCAGAGGATGTCAAATGCCAAGACATATCTACATACCACAAACATACATAAAAACAACAGACAGGCACGCATAATGTAAATATGCATACACATGAATACATTTTCCTGCGTGTTTATACCAGAAAAATGAAATACAGCATTCTGGGTGTTCACATTGAAAAAAATTAGCTACAACCTCTTAAATTCCATTTTTAATTCAGAGTCAATTGATCTGCAAGCCTGTCAGGTCAGAGTGCAAGCTTGTGAAGGTTAGAGAAAGGGCAACACATTATAATCCTTTGCAGTGGTTCTCAACCTGTGGGTCACGATCCCTGAAAGTACATCCTGCATATCAGATATTTACATTACGATTCATAACAGTAGCAACATTACAGTTATGAAGTAGCAACGAAAATAATTTTATGGTTGGGGGTCACCACAACATGAGGAACTGTATTAAAGGGTCACGGCATTAGGGAGGATGAGAACCACTGCTAGTGTGTGCTGTACTTAAAAGCTTTCATATCAAAACTGATATAGTATTCCAACACCACACAGTCGCTGAGTGAAGAAAGCGTCATATACCCAAGGAAATAGTGATGAGACGCTGAGTTATAATCTATTTTCAGACTAAAATTAAAACAAAACACACAACTGCAGGAGGGAAAGGCGGGAAGGCCTCGCTGTCTAACCAGAAGGCACACAGTATTATTCCCATAATAAAGTGTACATTTTCAATTGTTCAAGTAAATGAATAAAAACTGCTCCTTCAAATACGACATCTGTAATTTCAAAACCTTTCCTCTCTTCCACATAAAACTGGGTAAAGACAAATGTATGGCAAGAGATGTTCACAGAAACACACAGGCCACGCGACTCTCTGCCTTACCGCTGTCGCCAGAAGGCAGCGCCACGGTGTGCGTGGGCACGGTGTCCGAGTTCACCTTTCCGTTTTCAAACGTGTCGTTTTCCGTCTGCTGGAGCTGCCAGTTGAGGCCGAAGAGATGCATTGCTGGGGGGAAGGATAGAGGCTGGTTAAAGGGCCGCTACTTTTGCTGCAATGCCAATGGCAAACATGTTAACAAGTCACGTAGAGTTACAATGCAACACCCAGGGTAACTGCATGATAAAGATCAGAAAACAAGCAACCCCACACACAAATGCAATGGTGGCGATAGGTACATACGCAGCACTGCAATAGTGCTCTGATGTTTCTCCATCAATTGTACCAGGACACTCCTAGGCAAGAACGGTTACCTTCTCTGCTTTGTCGGAGTTCCATCCCCTCCACCCCTGAACTAAGCGGTGGGAGCTCATAGCAGCACCCGCCCAATTGCGTGACCACAGGCCACTCCCACGTGCATAACACTTTGTTGTAAAACCTATAGGTTCTCAAGAGCCGAGATGCTAATCACTGGATTAAGGTAAGACTAAAAACTGGGCTCACAGATGAATTAGCTGGCATATGAAATGATCAGAATGGATACTGATGCACAAAATAGAATATTTTAATAATCTAAATTTAAGATCAATTTATAGTATAACTCAGCAATGATCCAGATCAAGCCGCCTGTATATCTGCCAGGTAGCTTCCTGGAGAATTTCTGTATGAGCGTGATCCTATATACTAAAACCCTAATATGCAAATCAACCGAACAGCAGAACCACCGGTTGCTATGATGTGCACTGACCACCAGGGGGCAGACGCTCAATGTAGGAGCTGCCCCCTGGTGGCCAGTGCGCTCCCACAGGGGGAGCGCCACTGAGCCAGAAGCCGGGCTCATGGCTGGCAAGCACAGAGGCGGTGGTGGGAACCTCTCTTGCCTCTGTGGCAGCGCTAAGGACTGGGGAGTGGGCCTAAGCCGGCAGTAGGACATCCCCTGAGGGGTCCTGACTGGGAGAGGGCACAGGTGGCGCTGAGGGACCCCACCCTGCACCAGTGCACAAATGTCCTGCACCGGGCCTCTAGTAATCTCATAAATTGTAAAAACGTTGTTGACTAACTTTATTTAAAAGATTTAGAAAATATATGTATAACTATATATTTCTAAATCTAATTAAAATTGTTATGTATTATTTAATAACATCCGATATACGTAGCAACACAATTATGTTGGCACAGTGTACAAACTCTGGCTCTGTCCTCAATCGAGGATTTAACCCTGCACAAGTGACGTAATGTTGGTAAACGTTAGGTTTACTTAAACAGTGAGGCTGGCTGCCCGACCTTATGTAATTGGTGTGAACCTCCTAGGCAGTGCAGATGGAGGACAGTAGGACAGTTCTTCGTGTAGAGGCATTTCATTTATTTATCCTTTACCCCAGATGACTGAGCTACTGGAAGTCACCTGACCGACCACGGTACCTCTCAAGTTAATAGTCCCTTTGACTGCGACGTGTCCTCTCCCCTGTGAAATCCCTGCACCTCCCTCAGGTGGCAGGTGCCCACTTCCTGGGGAAGCCGCACGGCTGGATGGAGCATCTTTCCCATGACTGTTCATTCACTTTTGTATCTCATTTTCCTTACACAGTGCCTGATACCCAGCAGGTTTTTAAAAATATTTTTATTGATTTCAGAGAGAAAGGGAGAGGGAGTAGAGATAGAAACATCGATGATGAGAGAGAATCACTGATCAGCTGCCTCCTACATGCCCCACACTGGGGAACGAGCCTGCAACCTGGGCACGTGCCCTGACTGGGAATCGAACCATGACCTCCTGGTTTATAGGTCACTGCTCAACACCTGAGCCACGCTGGCTGGGCTACCTAGTGGGTCTCGATAAATATCTGTCAAATAAACGAATTTTATTTCCTGAGGTTTCAAAATCTAAGAAAACACTTGTGTATAAAAATATATAGTTATTCAAAGGAAAATTTAATAAATATAAAACAAATACATAAGTGGCTAAGACAAGAGTACTATTTTATTCATTATTTGATTGCCTTAGGGTGTATGAAAAATAGTGAAAGTCCCCTCGTATTATGTATAATTGATTGGATTTTTTAAAAAAGATTCAACAGTTTGGGGACCTTCCATGACCAGTCTCCCATTTTCCTGTTCTGATACCTGATACGAAATCATGATCTAGTAAGAAATATACCAGACACAGATACCAACGTAGCTACACCTACCCTGTGTATCTGTAACAAATGTTTACACGTAGGCTCCCTGCTTCAACTCCAGTCTGCCGGCAATTTCTTTTAGACTCTGATTTTTCAAGGATTAAGACATAGGTCATGGAATGCTTGAATGTACAGATGGTCAGTGGGTAAAGAGGTATGACTCCGTATGTCATTTTTGCATTAGACTATGTAGGGTTTGAGTGGCAAAATGTCAAGAGCTTTCTAAACACTGAGCACGTCATACGTTTGTCAAGCTTCAGCTATTTCCGCAAGTTTTGAATGAAACAGTGGGAGATACTTGGGCACAGAGTAAAGGTCTGAGAGGCACACATTGGTGGAGCAACAATAACTACCCAACAGGGTCAAGGCTCTCACACAAAATAACATGTCATTACTGTGTGCTTTCATGGAGCATAAAAAGGCCTCTTATAGATTAGCTCGTTTTATTGGTTTTAACAGACTTTGAAGAGGAGAGATAATCCATGGATCATGCACAGAAGTCAAGTGTTAAAAGTAATGTTATGTTTATGTTTGGAGAGCTATTTTATTTTCTGCCAGATGGGCAACATCTTATTATATACGTTCATTATAGAAAATCTCCATAAAATGGGATTTCAGTTCTACTCAAGACATCATCTAATGAGAACCATACCCACTAATATTACATCTTGTTTCGCACTGCATTGAAAACAGAGGCCAACAAGTTGTCTGGTCTTAGACTATTATGTACTTTGAAAATATTGCTGTTTGGAATTTAGTGAAGCTCTTGACACGTATGATGTGTCATTTAGGATATTTATACAAACTCAGAGTGTTAGGGAGATTCACTCCAAAGGTAGTGTGAGAGAGAAAAAGAAAAGAGGAGGAGGAGAGAGAGTGGGGTAGAAGCAACGAAGTCATAAAAGTCAAAATGCTCCAGAAATTACTAAGCACCAGTCAGTAACATGACATGCAATGTCTCAGCAGAAAAAAGAGAAAATTAGTGAAATAAAACCCATCTGTAGATGAAGAAGGATGAGAACACCCCTGCCTCGCCCGAGCCGGAGGGCAGACATGAACCCCCAGGGAGGCCTGTGCTCCCAACCTTCAAGGTGGTACTGCGGATCCCTGGCTGACGCAGGACTGACCGGAGGGCGTGGGACGAGTGTCAGAAGAAGCTGGGAGTCTGACTGAAAATATTATCTCCGTCTATGAGAAGGTCACGCAGGCAGGAGCCTACCTCCTAAAGAGAGGCCACATGCAACTAGAGATATTGTCACGACAAAGAGTCAAGAAAATGTTAAATTTGGAGAAAACTTTGAGGAGGCTTATGCAACAAGGAACAAGCCCAAGAAGTCAACGCCGGAGATATGGGTGCTGATCTAGAGTCAGGAAGAGCAGGGACGGAAAATGAACATCTCAGAACGATGGTATTTCAAGTCTGAACAAGAGCAAGATGACAAAACGAGAGGTCCAAGAAATGGTGTTAAGACCCCTGATGCAAAAACGAGGGAGGGCTGCCTAGTTCACTATGAGGTGCCTACTACACCACCCTTACAAAGTATAAAAAAGAAGCTATGCCCTGGCCGGTGTGGCTAAGTTGGTTGGGTGTCATCCCACGCATCACGAGGTTGCAGGTGCAATTCCTGGTCAAGGGCACCAGTCCCGGTTGTGGGCTCCATCCCTGGTAGGGCGTGTGCAGGAGGCAGCTGATCAATGTTTCCCTCTCTCTCTCCACCTCCCTCCCTCTCTCTCTCTCTAAAAATCAATAAGCTATTAAAAAAGTTGCAGTGTGACAAAATAAATTCTACATTTAAAGAACTGAAGTTTCTAACACCAGTTAGACCTTCTCAACTCCTTTAAGACAAAACTTCTAAATTGCCAGGTATGTTCAAAGCCCTTTATCCTTGTGTGTCTTCAGTGGAACAGTTCACAGAGCTGGGAGATGAAAGGGATGCTTTTACACGCCGCCCTAGTCAAGCCATAATAAGGAAAACACAAACGGACGTGGCTGGGAGCGGTGTGCGCTCCGGGTCCCTCACCCCCTGGGCTGATGGGAGCGGTGTGCGCTCCGGGTCCCTCACCCCCTGGGCTGATAGCCGAGGTGGGAGAACCGGCTGGCAGCAGAACCAGGCATGCAATATTACAAAAATAAAACCGTCACCAACACCTGCTCTGTGTCAAGTGCTGTGCTAGTGTGACCTGCATTATCTCATTTAATCTTCACAAAGACCCCACCAATAGTGGATATTATTTTTTTTTTCATGTGAAGTCTCAGAAAACTGAGGCTTTTTTCGAGAGTTTAAGGTTCCAAACAAGTGAGCAGTGGATCTTGACCTTGAACCCAGACCTTCTGAGAACAAAGGTCATATCACAGCATTCCTGTCCCTTCCACCCCAGGGTTTCAGAGTGAAGCCACAGGGAAAGAAGTGAGACGGGAATTCCCGGAGGCCACAGGCTGGACACAGCTTCTCCCCGGGGTCTGGGAACCCAGGGCAGAGACAGTGTGCGGGGCGAGGGGCAAAGGTCACATGTGTGTGTCCCAGGCACTGTCCTTCCACACAAGTACTTTCCCATAAACTTCTATTGTCCTAAAAGAAATTTCACAATAATATGATGATGATGATGATGATGATGATGATGAAGCAGGATACTGTGGTTAACCCAGAGTCTTAAAACAACAATTTAAAAATTACACAAGTAAACACTATACTTGTTAAAGTTTTAGAAATAGTATTTGTGTAGATTTAATCTTTAAAAAGTTTATATTACGTTTTGTAGTTTTACATTGTTATTTCCACATAGTTTTAGGAGATTTTAATGGGGCAGGGCTGTATTCATATCCTAAATGTTATCCGAGTAAGAGTGGAACTGTGGATGCTAGCGATGCTATTCTATGTCTATCAGTGT